TTTTTATGAAGCTAATAAAACTAAATTATATGCCTTTTACTTATAACCTCTCTGAGCCAACTTTCTGATTAGTAATAGGAGGAAATACCTATCATATAGACATAAAGTTAGAAATAAATATGATAATATGTACAGAGGGTCCACTATGTTAAAGAAAATAGTTTCCTTAAGAATTATTTGGTGGCAAAGTGCCTGCCTAGCAAATACAAGGCCCTAAAGTTCAAACTTCAATACCACAAAAAAAAAAAAAAATTTATACAGCAGTTAGGTGTGGTGGCACATGCCTGTAATTCTAGCTACTCAGGAGGCAAATCTTAAAAACAAGCTGGGTGGCTGGGTGCCAATGGCTCATACCTGTAATCCTAGTTACTTGGGAGGCTGAGATTGGGAGGATTGAGATTTGAGGTCAGTCCAGGCAAATAGTTCATGACACCCCATCTCAAAAATAACCAGAGCAAAATGGAGGGCACTGTGGCTCAACCAGTAGAGTACCTGCTTTGCAAAGGTGAAACCCTGACATCAACCCCAGTACAACCAAAAAATAAAAATAAAAAAAAAAATTCATTCTTGCTGCTGAGTGAATAACTCCAGCTACTTTGCAGGCTGATGCAGGAGGATTATTTAAGCCCAGGACCTTGCGGCCAGTGACAAAGGAGACCCTGTCTCAAAATAGAACCACCACCACCACCAAAAAAAAGCCATTCTCTTTGTTTAACTTAATCTCCATTCTAGTTTTGGTGAATACATTCATTCATTCATTCATTCATTCATTCATTTATTTATTTATTTATTTATTTATTTATTTATTTATTGCAGTGTCGGAGATCAAACCCAGGCCTCACAGCAAGTGCTCTATCACAGAACTTCACAGCAAGTGCTCTATCACAGAACTACAACCCCAGTTCTATCTGTTAATTTTTATTTTGTACACTTATATTTAAAAGCATTTCCTATTTCAAAATGTAGGAAAACAAATCAGTTTTGTTCAACGGGAGAATCTGATGATGATATTATGTTGTTACTAACAGATACTAAAAAGATATCCGTGGCATCTGATAATAGAGAATCACTGCCACTTGCCAAATCTAACAATTAGTACTGTTCAATACATTATCTAGGAGAAGTTGAGATAATCCCTGCAGACAGGGCTAGGGGAAAAAAATGAAGGATAGCAGGACATCCTAACATCTGTCTCCTGATAACAGTTTTAAAAATATGACCCCAATCATTTAATTCAATAAAAGTAAAATCCAGGGTCAGGTGCATTGGTGCATGTGTCAGTACCACCACCACCAAAAAACAAAAAAACAAAAAAACCCCCAAAAACCTAGTTCCTGAATATATTAGAATAATTTTATACAAAAATCATCTTTTTCTTTTTTTGGGGGGGGGGTACTGGGATTTGAACTCAGGGCCTCACACTTGCTAAGGGAGGTGCTCTACACTTGAGCCACTCTACCAGCCCTTTTTTGTTGGGTATTTTTGAGATAGGCTCTTGTGAACTATTTGCCCTGCGGGTTTTGAACCTCCATCCTCCTGATCTCCATTTCCTGAGTAGCTAGGATTTTTGGGCATGAGCCACTGGTGCCTGGGAAAATCATCTTATCTTTTAGAAGAAAGACTCACTGGAATTTATTTATTTATATTTTTTGTGGTACTGGGGTTTGAACTCAGGGCCTACACCCTGAGCCACTCCACCAGCACTTTTTTATGATGGGTTTTTTTCAAGATAGGTCTTGCAAACTATTTGCCTGGGCTGGCTGGCTTCAAACTGTGATCTTCCTCATCTCTGCCTCCCGAGTAGCTAGGATTACAGGCATGAGCCAACTGCACCTGGCAAATCACTCGAATTTTTTGAGGGATCATGTCAGTGGAGTTTAAAAGAAAGGAACTACTAATTAAAAAAAAAAAAAGACATTCCAACTTAAGTGCACCGTCTTAAATTAAAGTAATTTCTATATACTGTTAATTTCTATATACTATAGATAAATAATAATTTTTTTAAAACTCCAGAGGCTGGGGAAACAGAAGAATCTGGGTTATACAAATAACTTGCTAATTTTTATTGGTCAGATCTTTTTTTGGATAGCACGTTTTCATTTATTCAGCAGATGCTTTCTGAGCACCTGCTCTGTGTCAGTCAAGATGCCAGGTTCTCTGAGTATAACAGTAAACAAAAATAGACATGGTCTCCGTTACTAAGAAGTTTACAGGTTGGTAGCAATAAGACAGTCATCATATGCACACAAACAGAAAGGTAAAAATACAACAATAAGGGCATAGTTCTAGAAGCATAGCTCTAGAGGCAGAGTACTTGCCTAGCAAGCAGAAAGCCCTGAGTTCAAACCCCGGTACCATTAAAAAACCCAAATAAGAACAAGAACAAGAACAACAACAAAAAAACCCAATAATAAATACATGTGCTGTGCAGAGAGGTCCCTGGTAAAGGGGTAGTTGATCAAGTCAGGGAAGGTTTACTGAGTATGCAATAACTGAAATCTAAACATTATCTACGTCAGTGATTCTCACTGGAAGTGATGATTTATCCTCCATACAACATCTGGCAATGTGTGCATACACACACACACACACACACACACACACTTTTTTTCGTGGTGCTGGGATCAAATTAAGGGCCTTGCACATGATAGGCATATACTCTATTACTGAGCCATTTCTAGCCCTGGAACTATTATCATCATTATCACTATTTGCAGTTCTGTGGATTGAACCTCAGGAATGCCAGACAAGTGTTTTAGCACTTGAGTCACCGCCTCAGCATCCTGGAGTCATTTTTGATTGTCAAAACTACTACAGGGAGGTAGTAGTGGCATACGGCGTATAGACTACAAAGATGCTGCTAACTATCTTACAATGTCCGAGACAGCCTCTCCTAACGAAGAGTGTTGACATTGCCAAGGTTTAGAAATCCTGATCCAGGCAAAGGAAGAAGCATGAGCAAAGACCAGCGGGGGGAGACTCTGGTATGGACAGAGAATACAGATCAGACTGGGCTTTATAAACCTTGTCAAGTTTAAGCTTTCTTTTAAGAGAGAAGGGAAAAGCAAGTGAAGGGTGTTACAAAGAGGAGCTGTTGAGGGTTGAGGGCAGTGTGGTAATACACCTAGATGAAAATTTCAGAAAGGTTACTGACTGTAGTATGGAAAGGATTGGACATAAGCAGACAGGGTAGGTAGCTCAGCTTCTTAGAAACTCCACAAGCTGATCAAACAGGTGACAGTGGTGAGGATGAAGAAGGAGCTGAAAAACCTAGTGTCTATAAATGTTCAGGCTGGGAAAAGCAGAAATGAAGAAGAAAGTGGGTGCTATGCGCACAGTTATTCTACAATGTGTGGGTAGGTGTGATAGTTAACAAGGTATCCTTTTAGAATTCTCTCAAGATGAAGCAGTAATCCCCAAGAATAGAAGAAATGCTTTCCTTGTATTTTAAAAAGCAAGGAACAAGGATATTCTTTTCTTTAATTAATTTTTTTTTTTAGACATAGTCTTGCTATGTAGTCCAGGCTGGTCTTAACACTTGATTCTTCTGCCTTCCTCATCTGAGTGCCGGCATGCACCACCACGCCCAATTCCCTTTCTTTCTTTTTGTATATGATACATGGTGACATATAAAGCATCTTTTTTTGTTTTGTTTTGGCAGTACTGGAGTTTGAACTCAGGGCCCTCATGCTTGCTAGACAGGCATACGGCTAGCCCTAAAGAACTTTACTTGTAAGAATTCAGCAGCAAAAATCTGAAGCAATTAAATTTTAATGTGTGGGTGGGTGTGGTGGCCAGATGCCTGTAATCCCATCACTTAGGTGACTGAAGCAGAAAGATCGTTGAGTTTGAGGTCAGCCTGGGTTATATAGTGAGACCTTGTCTCAAAAAACCAAAGGGTGGGGGGCCATAGAAGCTTAGGAATTAATAAAATCAATAAATTGCTCCACTTGTATAGTCTCAAGAATATATTTTTTCTTAGTTATTAAAAACTATTTTATCATAAAACATATACACGGAGTATATATAGTCATAGAAGAGTGACTAGACTATACAATGCATGGCTTAAAGGATAATAAAACCCATATAAACTTACCAAAATGGTAATTTATTGTAAATACAAAAATTTTCATAAATATTTTGTTCTACAAGTAGCTTTTAAGATGAATATTTACATTAAAAGTAAAAGTGCACTTCAATTTCTACTATACTATTGACTGAAAGAAAATCCCTCCCCTGTAAAGAATGAATAAAAAAAAAATCCTATGAAAGATAGCGCAAACAAAGCAAAAGCCCAATGATTTTTGGTTTATTTCAATTTAATACTTGGCAGCATTCATATTCCAGTTGAAACTTATTTTGACTAACCAAACAAAATGGGTATTTCCTTACTGCTTTATCAAAGTGAACTCTATAATTTTGTGACATTATAATTTATATCATATGTTAAAAGTGGTCTTAATTTGCTTCTTAAAACTAAACAAGAAAATAAAACCACTGGACAGGTTAGCCTTTTTAAATGGCCTAATTTTTCTTTAGTGAAGTAACAGATTCCTACCTGACATATTTGGAAACATTATAACATTCTATTGTGTTTTATTATTTAATGAAATAGTAAAATTTTATGTAAAATTTATATTTAAATTAAAAGCAACTGTGTATTTGGCATCCAATTTTGGCTCAAAGTCACAGCATTGTAGTAAAGCACTGTTAAACCATAATGACACACACATGTCTTTTATATAAAGACAATTTCTTATTTTCTTGGAGGGGCTACAGATGCCAATCCAAAGCTTCTATTAAAGCAAGAATTACGTAACATAACATACGTTTGGTTTACAGTAAATGTGAGATTCAGCCTTCCTTTCTATAGGGTAAGAATGTCTTTAACAACATGGCAAAAGACTTGCTTCTTAAAAAGTAAAGAGCTGTTTCGTAACTCCTGTTCAGTCTTCTATACTTTTACTCCACTCAGTGATATTAGTAATAGAATTACTCACCCAATGAAAGCGACCATCTGTTCCACTATGTGCTTGCTGAATGTTATTATAACAAAGATTTTCTGTAAAGAAAACACCAGTCAAAATAAATATTTATTCATTAGAAGAATCACTATAGGCTGGGGAGTAGCTCAAGTGGTAGAGCACTTGCTTACTAAGTGAAGGCCCTGAGCTCAAACCCCAATACCACAAAAAAAAAAAAAAAAAAAAGTCTAAAAAGGCAAAGGCCTGCCCATAACTGCAATTGAAAAAATAAAAGACACCATTTAATTCCAATGGTATTTTGTAATTTTGTTTGTTTGTTTTGTAGTACAGAGGACTGAACCAAGGCAAGTGCTCCACCACTTTAATGGTGCCCCTAGACCTATACTTTGTATGTTAAAGATGCTTTTCCAGAAGCATGTGGCTCTAGTCTTATAAGGATACATGACTGTGTCTGAAATATGAGTCATGAAACCAAGACTAGGAGGCAATAATGAATATTCACTTGCTCTATGAATCCTTCCTGTATACAACAAAACCCATGGGTTCCATATAGCCCCCATCACTGAAATCAAAGTTGACTACCCTGATAACAAGTTGCCTAAATCCAATCAAGAAGTGGAAGGTTCTTTTTTTTTTTTTAAGTGGTACTGGGGTTTGAACTCAGGACTTCATGCTTGCTCGCTCTACAACTTGAGCCACTCTGACAACTTTTTTTTTGTGTAGGGTATTTTCAAAATAGGGTCTCTCAAACTATTTGCATGGTCTGGCTTCAAAATGCCATCCTCCTGATCTCTGCCTCCTGAGTAGCTAGGATTATAGGCATGGCCCACTGGCACCCAGCCTAATTAATTAGGGATTTAAGAAGATGATATTTAACATCAGCTTTCAAGAATGGATAATAACTCTCTCAGTATGAATGAATCTAGATTCTCTCCAAATTCCTGATAACAAATTCTTTAATGTTGTTATTGTTTGTTAAATAATAAACTTTAGCCAATGTATTCAAAGGGGAGGGGAAGGAAATAAAATTATTAACAAGTCTTCTTTCTTTTCAGACATTATAAATCTGAGGAGAGTAGGCAGGTTAGAGTAAAACATATCAGTTCAGGTAGAAAACTACCTGAATTGTGTCACGGTTACACAAATAGTGTAAGAATATTAATGAAGTCAACAAGACAATTATTACAGATAACTTAGAGAGAAAAGCATTAGCATATGGGATCTATACCAAAAGCCAGTTATTTGGAACTATGAGTCTTTTACTGATCAACAGAAGTAATGTTTTGACTTTCAGTGATTTTACCACCCTGAGCTTTCCCTACCATCATTTCCTAACATACAAAACAAACCAATACTCAGATAATTGCACAACTTCATTGCTTGAAAAACAAAACAAGATTTTCTTTTAAAATGTAACAATTTAGAATTCATTGTGCTGGGTAAGACAAAATGTCAGCTATTTAAGAACATATGTCCCAGAATCTTTCAAGCTGGAGGTCTGAGTGGGGATACTACCAAATAAAAAAAAAGGCAGAGACCACCAAACAGCCCTCCCAACTATATGCAGAGTAAGCAAGCGAAGGGGCTTAGTAGGCAGAAAAAAGATATGGGTAGAGGGCACTAATGGTGCCAAAATAAACAAAGAAGAAATCATATGTTAAAGAAGTGCCCTTCCCTGGAGAGAAGAATCTTATAGACTGGCTTAGTTATCAAATGGGCATTAGAAGACCAAAGTGAACCAACAAACAAAAATTTCTGACCTCCCAGAGGTTGTAACTCCATATATGTGTGTATGCTGTGGGTGGGGAGGTAGGTAGGCAACAGACAATACCCATGGTAACTAAGTTACATGAAGCAATTCAGGTAAGAATGTTAAAATTTTAAGTGGGTTATTTTGAATTTTTTTCAGGGAAGGTTGTCAGACAGTAAGATTCAACAAAAATAACAATACTTATTGGATAAGGCTGAATAAAAACGGATGAAAGAAAAACAGATAAGGAACTAGGTTTACTATTCATAGTAGAGAAAATTTTGTGAGTGGGTGTTTCCTTCTATTTCAGAAATGGCTAAACCGTTTATATTACTCACTAATATTGCTTACCCAAGAAATGAGAAATGCTTGTTACCCTAAGCTACATCTGGATGTACATCAAGTGACATGCCTTTATAAAGTATGTCACGATGATACAATGGAACATAGCAAACATATCCCACAGTCTTGGTTTAGTGAGGGAACTCAGATTCTTTCCTGTCAGAAACATAAATGGATTTTAGCTTAATTTTTTTTCTTTTACATAGTAGGTACAGGAAAAGAGCTTTAACTTTCAGAACTTGGTTTGAATTCCAGGGCCATAGGCAAATGTTTTATCTTCTCTTTTTAAAATTTATTTTGGTGGTACTGGGGTTTGAACTTAGGGCCTTGTGCTTGCAAGGAAAGGTCTCTGCTGCTTGAGCCATGCTGCCAGGCTACTGTACCTTCTCTTAACATCATTTGCCCCTCTGTGAAATATGGATAATAACTACCTCACAATACTGTTCTCATAGTGAGATGACCAAAACAAATTACCTGGCACAGGCCCTGAAAAACAGCAGGCATTCACCAGTTAAATTTCTTTAGTCGTATCAGTAGATAAGAAGGCAATGCTAAAGAAAGAACAATGAGCTTGAAGTCAAAAGACTTGGGTTCAAATTCAAGTTGTATTTTCATAGGCAACTATTACTTATTAACCACTCTAAGTGTGATAATCACAAAGTAGTAACCCCCCATCCTGGAATTACACTAAACACCTTAAGGTGTGAAGTATTATATTAAAAATTAAGAATTATTAAAAACTTAGGCTGGGGATGAGGCTCAGTGGTTGAGTGTTTGTCTAGCATGTGCAAGGCTCTGAGTTTGATCCCTAGTATCGAGGTAAAAATAACAAACCACAAAATCTCCCCCAAAAAACCAAAGAAAGAATTATCAAAACTTGAAAACCTTTCTCTTTCCCTAGAAAGAACTAAATAACATTAAAAACTGAAAATTAAAGAAAAAACTATTTTAGCTAGGCGTGGTGGATTATAGCTATAATCCCAGCACTTGGGAGGTGGAGGCAGGAAGATCTTAAGTGATCTCAAGGCCAGCCAGGGCTACACAGTTGAGTTCAAGGCCAGACTGAACTATATCATGAGATATAGTCTCAAAAAAAAAACTGCCACCAAAACAACACAAAATCTAAGGGCTGGGGATGTGGCTCAGTGGTAGAGCACTTACCTAGCATTGTAAAAACAGAACAAAACTACTTTGAGATACATTGCAAAATAATTTATTATTCAACATATATTTTATTATTAAAAATTCTATTATGTTGTTTAAATTTTTAAGCAAGTAAATGACATCATAATATTAAAAATCTTAGCAGGGTGCTGGTGGCTCAAGCCTATAATCCTAGCCACTTGGTAGGCTGAGATCTGGAGGATCACAGTTTAAGGCCAGCCTAGGCAAACAGTTTGTGAGACCCCATCTCTAAAATAACCAGAGCAAAGTAGACTGGAGGAGTAGCGCAAGTGGTAAAGTACCTGCTTTGCAAGCACAAAGCCCTGAATTCAAAATTCATCCTATATAAAATAAAAAATCTTGTGTTCAATGAACTAAATATTTAATGTAAGTGGGAAGAAATATATTCTTTGAAGGAAGAAAAACATACCCATTCCGAGTGGTTATGTGGCAAGAGAGTAGAAGACAGATTCCATAAACCCTCCCAAATACTGAAATCCAAGATTAGAAACTGGGGAGGTAGGAACAGCTCAAGTTTTCCTGTTTCATTCTTCCCATCTAAGTACCAGTGGCAGAGAGGTGCTAAGGAAATCACTGGGGATAGGTCTGTTTTTTTGTTTTAATGTGCTGAGGACTGAACCCAGAGCTTCACACATGCCATACACATGTTGTAGCACTGGGCTATATCCGCAGTTGGATAGATGTATCTTTAATTATTATGGAATCACAGAAGGGCATAGATAAAACTTTACTGTTCTTGATTTTCTTTTGATAAATACCTCTTTGTTGTAAACCACACTGATTAAAAATAAATTCTTTCCAGGTTAATTTTTATTTTATTCTAGTGAGACTTGTCCTTAGAAGGAAAGAATTTTGATTACAGTTCTAGAAGCACACATCCATTTTCCCCTCATTTTAAGTTCTTAGTCTCTCTTTTCTCCTCTATTTGTGCACACATACGTGTGTGTGTGTGCGCGCGCATGTGTGCGTGTATCCTACAGATGTTGGGAAGAGTGGCTTTGAGGACTAACAGATTCTCACTTCTCTAACCACAAACAACATTTCTTTACCTCTTAGCGACCCCTTTCTTCCCCATTCTCTCCCACACTAACATCTGGCTGGTTTTCGGTAAAGAATATTGGTGTCAAGAGAGGAAGTACTATATAGAGTATGTGAAAGAAAAGAAGAATTAGTGAAAGGCAATATTCTTTCAGGTTGTGGTCAGTAAAGAAACTATATTTTTTGACTCTATGTGAAAATGATGTACATTTTCTTACATAGAACACTACTTTTGGCAAAAGTTTTAGATTAATAGTTTCAGGAGCAAAAAATAAGGGAAAGAAGAGGAAAGAGAGAAAAGGAAAGGAGGAAGAAAGAAAACAAGGGAATCTACTAACTTTTCCAAATGACATTTATATACTTTATTATCTAAGTAAACTACCAAACAAAAGAAAGAGAACCAGCAACTTAATTTGCTTAGGAATAATCCTGTTTTAGTGTCTTAATGGGTTTATCATCATCACTGAGCAGTGAATCAGAGATATAATTACCTGGATATGCATTTTAATTATTGCTTTTCCAATCAGGGTTGCACCGAAGAAGGTCCAAAAAGGTACAAGAAAGTGTCCACATGTTATTCCAGCCAGATCAAACAGAGGATTTGGAATCTATAAGGAGAAAACAAAATAAGGACTTCCATATATAATTCAAAGAGCAATTTAATTTTACCACCCACTGATATATGGTATTCTGCTATAAGCCTGCAAAACAAGGAAACAAGGTATACCCTGGTCAGTACACTTCACTGTTCAGAAGGTAGATACATTGTCTTAGAGACACATGTCCCTAAGCTGGGTCTCATTCATTTCAGGCTCAATATGCTCACAGCAAACCAGGCTGTCCTTTTGCTTGTATTACTTATGACTAGTGTCCCATATACATATTTTTAAATAACATGGAGAAATGGATAAAGCCCATGGATTTGCAGGAATTTAACCCTATTCAGTAGAATCTTGACCATTTTGTAGCTGTTTTCTACGGTAAGGTATCAGTGAAACCTTAAGATATTTCACAAGTTACTAAGGCTCTAAAATCTTTAGCCTGAAAACTAATATTACCTGATAGTGCTCACATCTTTAACAGCCTTCTAGTAAATTCACAATCACATTTATAAGTAGATGTTCTTGACATTAAAAATCCATTATTCATATTTAATTTTAAGAGTGTCCACAGCTTTGGACCCATGTAGCATATTTGAGAAAGAAAATCAAGTGTAGAAATATGAAAGCACAGAAATTCAGATGTTTTGAATATTCAGTCCCAGACAAAGAAGTGATTCACAATAAATACCTTTTTTTCCAAACATTCCCACATTTTAAGAACACTAAAAGGCAATTTCATGTAAAAATGCAAAGAAACCACAAGCTGGTTTTGAGTACTTCATCCATTTTTCTCCCACAGAAGTACTCTGTCCTTGTGTCTGTTGGATGAACCATTTATAAGCCAATTAACTTATATAATTTCATTTTTGAACTCTGAAAGAAAGCCTAGATGTTTAAAAAACATTTGTCACATAAGAGTCTTTTAAAAACAATGCCGTGACTAAGTTAGAATTCCAGTATTCTTTTGTTAGTAACACTTGGATTCAATAAATTATTTTTTGTTTTTCTCATCTAAATTCAAATGCTTTATGCAAGTTCTCCCCTTACAACCATGTTATAAGCATTATATCTGCCTATCTTATTTTTTCTCATGCTACCTCACAATTCTGAGAATTAAACTTTCCCTTTATTCTCAGGCTCTATTTCAAATCTTGACCATTTTGTAGCTGTTTTCTACGGTAAGGTATCAGTGAAACCTTAAGATATTTCACAAGTTACTAAGGCTCTAAAATCTTTAGCCTGAAAACTAATATTACCTGATAGTGCTCACATCTTTAACAGCCTTCTAGTAAATTCACAATCACATTTATAAGTAGATGTTCTTGACATTAAAAATCCATTATTCATATTTAATTTTAAGAGTGTCCACAGCTTTGGACCCATGTAGCATATTTGAGAAAGAAAATCAAGTGTAGAAATATGAAAGCACAGAAATTCAGATGTTTTGAATATTCAGTCCCAGACAAAGAAGTGATTCACAATAAATACCTTTTTTTCCAAACATTCCCACATTTTAAGAACACTAAAAGGCAATTTCATGTAAAAATGCAAAGAAACCACAAGCTGGTTTTGAGTACTTCATCCATTTTTCTCCCACAGAAGTACTCTGTCCTTGTGTCTGTTGGATGAACCATTTATAAGCCAATTAACTTATATAATTTCATTTTTGAACTCTGAAAGAAAGCCTAGATGTTTAAAAAACATTTGTCACATAAGAGTCTTTTAAAAACAATGCCGTGACTAAGTTAGAATTCCAGTATTCTTTTGTTAGTAACACTTGGATTCAATAAATTATTTTTTGTTTTTCTCATCTAAATTCAAATGCTTTATGCAAGTTCTCCCCTTACAACCATGTTATAAGCATTATATCTGCCATATCTTATTTTTTCTCATGCTACCTCACAATTCTGAGAATTATAACTTTCCCTTTATTCTCAGGCTCTATTTCACATTGGAATGGAAATGAACTTAAAGTATACAACATATATAAAAACAAGAACATCAGAATTGTTAGTTGTTAGATATCTCATTCTACTCTGGACACTCTGAGAAGAGCATAACTGAGTTTATTATTAGATATGCATGTTACTTATTCTTTTTTTCAAGTATGAACCAAATAAACTGGAAAGACAATTGGCAGTTAATCAGATATCCTCCTTCAACTATGAGTTTTATCTTTATTTAAATGTTAACAACATTTAAACAAAATAACTAATGAGGTCCTTTTTACCTTAAAACAAGCATGCAGAAATACAAATGTTTAAATGTACATGGAAAAAAACTCCTTGGAGGCCAAACTGACCTTTTTTTGGGGTAGTACTAGGATAAAATTGATCCTTGCCTTATTATTACTGTTAATTATTATCATTATTATTATTATTATTATTGTTTGCAGAGCTAGAGATCAAACCTAGGATCTTATACATGGCAGGTGAGTACTCTACCACTGAATTGTATCCACAGCCTGTCTTTTACTTCTTTACTCCCAGAATGTGGTGATTGATACAAAACTGATATAAATCACAATAAAAAATGAATAAGCATTTACGTGCTAGGCACACATTAGTTACTTCACATATATTATCTTAAATCCTCACATCAGCCTTTGCAGTGATTATCTTATTGCTCTATTTTGTTCTATTTATTATTTTGAGACAGGATCTCATTTCATAGACCAGGCTGGCCTTGGACACTTGATCCTCCTTTCTCAGCCTCCAGAGTGCTAGGACTGCAGATGTGTGCAATCATACTCAGCCTCTGCTCCACTTTTTTTTTTGCGATATGAGGGTTTCAACTTAGGGCCTTGTACTTGCTAGGCAGGCATGCTACTTGAGTCATGCCCCCAGACCTTATTGCTTTAGTTAGTTTTTGAATAAGGTCTTGTATTTATGTCTGGGCTGGCCTGGACTATGATTCTCCTATTTATGCTTCCTGCATAAACTGAGATGACAGCTTTATCAGTTGAGATGGGGCTCTCATGAATATTTTGCCTGGGCTGGCTTTGAATCTCAGCCTCCTAAGTAGCTAGGAGTGCAGGCATGAGCCACTGGGTCCAGCTTTTGTTTCACTTTTAAAAATGAGAGAATTGGGGCTCAGAGAGAGTAACCTGGCTGACATTACCTAGATAAGAGGCATAACTGGTTTATGAATGCAAGTCAGCCTGACTCTAAATCTTCCCCTCTTTCCATTCTACAATATACCTATAACTTGTTGAAAAAACTGCAGTTAATATTACAATAAAGAACGCATAAAAAGAAGTTACCTTACAAAAATTCCTAGAATCGCCCGGATCAATAGATAGTAATTTATGTATATACATATTTTAGAATCTGTCTATAATAGTATCACATCATAAATTTTGGCACCAAATGCCATAAGTTTTGACATTTGCTTTACTAAGGTGGGAAAGAGCTCAAAGACATAGTATTCAAGTTGTAGTATATAATGGATAAAGTAGCTATAGGTCAGCAGACAATATTGTGAATTTTATGTAATTTCACAGCTTATCACATATAAAACCAGATGCCTACTTATTTTGGCCGAACCTACCACTGAACAACTCTGTATAGGCTACCAAAGAAAACACTAATCTGATTAAAGTTTCAGTCCTGGGGTTTGAATTCAGGGTCTCAATTGCTAGGCATGAGTTCTGTCACTTTGAGCCACTCTGCAAGCCCAAAGTGCCTCATCTTAAAAGTAAGTTTTTATTATATTAGGAAAGACTCAGGATAAATACCAACTCACCAATGGATGTCAATCTCACAAATCCGAAATTTAAGACATTATGTTTTTAGACAAAAACAGCATTAGCTGAAGATGTCCTTATCTCTGCTACTGATACTTCCATCACATATCCAGGAGTTAAGACAAGTTTTATAGGAATTCTTCCTTGCAATTAATACTGGGACTTTGGAAAAAGACTTCCTATCTACAACTCTGTGGACAGACTTTAGTCATTATTATTTGGTAAATGTAATTTATTATAGATTCTTTATAGAAGAATGGATCTTGCCTCTTTTGTTCTTACTGAGTCAAGCCTGTTAGGTCTGAAGTTATCAGTGTGTGATGAAATCCTTAAAAGTCAACAAATAAGACTGTGGACCTACCCAACCATTTAACAAGATGAGTGATTCCCCAAATTTGTATTTAATAAAACTGATAGCACCTTTTTTTCATTCAGGAGCATATCTTTAAAAAACAAGTTTATCAAAATACAATCCTACGATCTAGTGAATTTTCTCAGTTTTTAGTACAATTTACTTACTGAAGCACAGGCCAAAATTCCAAAAAATCCAACCTTCTGTACTAGGTTTTGAATTGCCAGTTTAGCCCGTGAGGCAAAGTCCTATAAAAAGGAAGATTTGTAACATTAATGAAAACTTTAAGGAAGAAGGAAAGATGGCTCTTCATAGAGTTTATTATATTAAATATCTTACAATCTAATAGCATTGATTCTTTTGTTGCTGCTGTTGTTGTTTGAGACAGATTCTTGCTATATAGCCCAGGCTGGCTTCACACTCTCAATCTTCCTGTCTCAGCCTCCTGAGTGCTGAGATTACAGGTGTGTACCACCATGTAATCCATGTGCTCGCATGGATACATTTAATGAGCACGATGATTAATAACATTACAGCAGGCTGCTCACAGGAAAACATGAAAAAAATCTATAGCACTTTTACCACATGAAGAATAAGGCAAATACTATCACTCTGTTTTTAGAGTTTTGTCTGGATTTTCTAGGGTTGAACAAAATATTATAAAGCAACCATGAACCAACTCATTCTGTTAGAAATACTTGCCTACAAAATCCTTTTCTTTTTACTTCTAGAATTTGCAAGACCTAATCTCCAGTTAATAGCAGGGTAGGAAATCAGGCTTTTTCAAGACAATGAAGACACCACTACTGATCACTAGCTAGAAGAGGGAAAAACGGTTATGTGGCAATAACTAAGCATTCAGTAACCCCAAACCAAAAATAATACCCTAAATTTGCACAACTTGCACTAGTTTTATAAAATGTTTTCACAAACATTTTATTTAGCTTTTCATCAATCTGGGGTGTAGGCAGAGCAAACAGAATTATATCCAACCTATAGATTATAAGACTGCAGCCCATAAAGTTTAAGTGCACAAGATATAATGCTGGTAAGGGAAAAAAAATGGAACAAGATTCAATCTCAGACTCTGAAATCAGGGCCTGTTTTTTGAGTCAGGGTCTCTCTGTGCTGTTGAGGCAGGATCCTCTAGCCTTGGACTGTAGAGTAGCCAGAAATCAGTGGTTTTTATTTTCACCATCCCACCTCCTTCCATGCTGAAACACATCAGACTGGCTAGTTTCTTTCCATGATTTATTTTCTCTCTGTCTCCTTTCTCTTTCTTTTGGTGGTATGAAGGACTGAACTCGGGTCTTTTGCTTGTTAGGTACTCTACTGCTTGAGCTACAACCCTAAGCCCATTTTGCATTTAGCTATTTTTTGGATAGGGTCTTGCATTTTTGCCTGGGCTGGACTTGAACCATGATCTTCCTAATCTCTACCTCTGGAACAGCAGGGAACACAGATAAGCACCACCATGATTGCTTCTTCCAGCATGGCACACACCTGTACAGCCCTGTACTTAGGAAGCAGAGGCAGGAAGATCTTGAGTTCAAAGCCAGCCTGGGCTATATATAGCAAGAACCTGTCTCAAAAAAAAGTGGGGGGCTGGAGATGTGTGGTTTAAGTGGTAAAACACTCAGTGAGCTCAAAGCCTTGAGTTTAAACTACAGTATGGAAAAAAAAATCTAAAAAGAAGTCAGTTCAATACAGGAAGGACAAGTTCTAACAAAAATCATAAATAAGAAGTCATTTTTCCACTTTAGGGCAGAATCTCTTAAGAGAAATTAGGCAAGAATAAAGGAAAACAGACTCCCTATTCTTTCAGATGCCTGGGTACTTACAGTCAGTTATCCTTAAGGCTGCTTCTACAATTTTTATTTCAGTGAAAAGAATTAATCTATTCAAACAAGTAAAGCAGAAACCTTTAACTATTTCTTTTAAATTGAAGCTGGCATGTATTACAAGGAAAACAAGCAAAGTACCTTTTTAAAGGGGAGTTTTACATCTTAGAAATGGTGAAATATCTACTAAAAATGGATGTCATAAATTTTATTGTGTGTTTAGCACACACAGTGATCATGTTACTTTCAGTTCCTGTATTTTTTACAGGTCTTTCACAATATTCTCAGAATTAAAATTACAATTACACATCAAATAATTAGTGAAATAATATGATATGTGCAGTTTGATGGAATACTTCCTTGATTTATCCCGTCAGTGTGATGAAAAACTCAGAGGAATGCTATTTTAGTATTTGTACCAAATTTACAATTTTTACACTGGTGAAGGAACTTGTTTATATTTCATAAAGTCATATTTCTTATTTGCTTTACATTTATTCTAATTTTAAAGCCATGAGCCAAACTTACTGATGTGGTTTTAAAGACTACTTTCTTTAAAAGATTTTTTTGAGTGGACTGGTGGTGATTGAACCATGGCCTTCATGTATACTACCAATGCCATTCCTTGAGCCCTAAAAATTTTAATGGGACACCATTCTTTTATTGCCCAAATGTTCTACATGTTAAATATAATTTTACTTTCCTTACTGCTTTGTAGTAAATATTTTTTATTTAAAAAACAATTTCAGTATTTTACTTTTATACTTTTGCTGCTTTTTGTGTTTGTTTTAGAACAATATTGTCCATCAATTAAAATACTTATATTCTTGCTTGCCTTTTATAAAGGGGGGAATTTTACTCTCTATATAACATTTGTCAACAAACTTGACTCTAAAACACCCATATCCACCACCTATCACCACCAAAAAGCCTTCCTTTTACTAAAGTTTAAAAGAAACATTTTAGGCTGGAGGTATGGCTCAAGCGGAAGAATGCCTGCCTAGCAAGGGCAAAGCCCTGAGTTCTAACTTCAGTAATATCAAAAAGAGCCATTTTAAACAAAATTTGCTGTTCCTTTTTTTTTTTTAAGTTCAGTTAAAATTAAGTAAGCCAAGTGAAAACATGTAATAAGAGTAAATAATATTTTAAAGAAAAATGGGCAAAAGATCACCAAACAAAAGAGCATACTAGATATTCAATATTCAAAGGAAAATTAATATTTCCTTTGAATAGTTTTGTAGTATTTGTGGGAACAATATAGCAAGTCCAATGTGATTACTTCCTCAATTCTCATTATTTCTTCAAAAAATTCTGTACAACTAAAAACAAATTCCTTTTTATAGTTTCATTTCTCTGTATTCAAATTTCATAACTTTTACCTATTTCACAATTTAAGAGCCTGAGAGGACTTTATTCTCTAACTCTACCTAAAAATAACATTTTCTACTTTTTTCACAGAAATAAATCAATTATAGTTAAATAAAATGACATTTCCCACCTCCACCCATTGTGATTATTTACGTAATGAATGATGCTTTTGAAAGAGATAGAAATACAGGAAAATTTTCCGAAATGCTAGAAGAAAACCAAGAGAAGTTAAAGTCATTCCTATCACTGAGAATTCAAGGACTAACCAAGAAAAACAGACAGAGCTTTAAAGTATGAAAATTTCTGGGCTGGGGGCACAGCTCAAGTGATGACAGTACTTGCCTGCAAGCAAGAGGCCTGGAGTTCAATTCCCAGTGCCACCAAAAAGAGAAAAGTATGAACATTCCTCTACCATTGTGTTTCACATTTCTTGTTCCTGAGAAAGATATTTATGATTAAGGAAGAAGAAAAATTACAAGGTTAAGTATAATTACTCTGAAAAATAAAATCTTTGACTCTAATAATGGTAACTTGAATCTAAATACATGAAATAACTTTTATCTTCAAATGATAATAAACCTATCTCATGAGGAGTAATCACATGAAAAGACTTCTTTATTTTTGCAGTACTGGGATTTGAACTCAGGGCCTACTCCTTGAGGCATGCCACCAGTCCCCCTTTTTTGTGTGAAGGTTTTTATTCAGATAGTATCTTGTGAACTATTTGCCTAGGCTGGCTTCAAACCTCAATCCTCCTGATCTTTGCCTCCTAAGTAGGATTATAGGTAGGCATGAGCCACCAGTGCCTAACTGTATTACTTTTTATTGTTATTTTCTTCCTTTCTTCTCCTTCTTCTTCTTTTTTTTTTTTTTTTTTTTTTGATGGTATTGAGGATCTTGGTTCGAGGCCAGTGGGGGTATAAACGTTGTGACCCATTCAATCAATGGTTGGGTTTGGTGGTGTTATCCCAGCTACCTGGCGAAGTACAAATAGAAGGAATTCAGACCATACTAGCCCAGGCTTAAAGGCAGACCCTAACTCAAAAATAACCAACACAGGGCTGGTGGAATGGCTCAAGTGTTGAAAGTGCCTGCCTAGCAAGTGTGCAGCCCTGAGCTCAAATCCCAGAGCCTCACCCCAAAAATAATCATCACACAAAGGACTGGCAGTGTGGCTTAAGTGGTAGAGCAACTGCCTAGCAAGTGTGAGGCCCTGAGTTCAACAAGCACCAGTAACAAAACCACATTTCATATTTATTAAAATCAGCAAAGGCATGCCTAAAAATTAGCAGAACCAAAGAAGAGCTTGATTGTTTACTGATATACTAAGAAACATTTAATTTGGTAAATAGCTAAATTTCATTAAGCACTAAACTAAATGTAACTTGAAATCTGAAAATTCAGATTTTGCTTGTTCATATATTTATGCTATCTAGTGCAGTGTCGTTAAATGAGATTTCATTTAAAAATATACTTGGTTACAATTACAAATAGCATCTCCTTTTTTTTTGGTGGTACAGGGGTTTGTACCAGGACTCCACACAAGTACTCCACTGCTTGAGCCATGCCTCCAGTCCTTTTTGCTCTGGTTATTTTAGAGATAGGGTCTTGATTTTTGCCCAGGTTGGCCTGGATCTTAATTCTCCTATTTTAAGCTTTCTGCAGTAGCTGAGATGACAGGCACATGCCACCATGCACAGCTTTTTTCCACTGACATGTATTTTGGGTTTTCTTTGGTAGTACTGTAGTTTAAATCCAGGGCTTTACACTTGCTCGGCAGGTGTTATACTATTTGAGCCACAGCTCCAGCCCCTGAGATGGAGTTTTTAGCCTGGACTGGCCTGGAACCATGATGCCCCTGATCTCAGCCTCCTTCATAGCTTGGGATGGCAGGTGTCATTGAGATGGGGGTCTTGTGAACTATTTGCTGGGGCTGGTCTCGAACTGCAGTCCTTCCAATTTTAGCCACCCAACTAGCTAGGGTAACAGGTGTGAGCCCATCTGGCTCCAATGTAACTTCTTTTTAATAGAATAAAACT